CCCCAAAACCCCAAAACCCCAAAACCCCACAATAGGAAAATAGTATTATAAAAGGAAAACAAAATATTTAAAATAATTTGAAAGATGATAAATTATAATTATTCTGCTTTCATTTTTAAATCCGTAAAAGTTTGCATCACAAGTCATCTCTCGGTAAGACCTCATAAAAGACTTCATTCTCTTTGATTTAGAAACAAGATGAATTAAGATAAAAGATAACCAAAAGGTAAAAAGCAGGGATTTATGTAATAATGAAATTCCTAATTCAATTTAGATCAGATTCTGCAATGAAAACAGACTAGTTAAATTACTAACCAGTATACGGCAATGAATAAGCTCAAAGCATTTTCATGGCTTAGAGTTAGTAAGAACAGATCAGCTAAGATGATAGAATCAAAGACGTTTGGATAGATAACTTTTTTGAAGAAATGGAAAACATTTCAAGACAAATTGAAAATTACAATTATATATCGATGGTAAGTGAATAAGATAGCTTTATTATGTTTTTACTCACTTCTAATATTCTCGCAAATACTTGCAACAGGAATTAGACGACAATTTAAACTCTCATTTTTCGTCTAAGTTTCTTTATTGCAAATATAATCAAAATAATGACGATGATCACCAGCTAATTATGTTATCATATAGCTTGAATATATACATCCCTTGATAATCATCTCTAATGATGACTTATCAAAGAATGATATAAAAAAAGAAAAAAGTTCAAAATGACTAATAAAATTTATAGGACACTGAATACCCAGGCACTGTTTTTCTGCCCCCTGATGTCAATAATGTATTTATGACATATTTAAAAATTGGTAGGAGTTTGAGTACCAAATGGTCAAGGTCAATGTGAACAATTTGAAGCTTATACAGGTGGGTATTACCCTCTCAGATTCAAATGGTGCTGTTCCATCTGGAGTCTGCTCTTGGCAATTTAACCTATTCTACGACATAAGGTAATTTTAAATATACAAAAGATATTTTATTATTCACAAAAACCATTTTTTGGAGATTTTCTAAAATTGAAATTATAGTCAAGAGCAGTATTATGCTAAGGAATCTATGGACTTGCTAAAACGATCAGGATTTGATTTTGAGAAGCATAAGACAAAGGGAATTAGGCACTCGAAATTCGGAGAATATCTGATGAGTAGTGGTCTATGCCTTAATCCTGATGTACACTGGATCACCTTTCATGGTGGAGTAGATTTTGGCTATATGCTAAAAGTACTAATGGATACAGAATTACCGAGTGATGAATCATCATTCTTCCAGATGATGAATATCTATTTCATAAACTACTATGATATAAAAGAGGTAAAGAGAGATATTGATTTCTTATCAGGAGGTCTAAGTAAGATTGCTAAAGAACTAGATATTGAGAGGATAGGAACAATGCATTAAGCAGGCAGTGACTCTTTAGTAACCAGCAGAGTATTCTTTAAGCTGAAGGATCTCTTAAAGAAATGGTGGCCAAGCCAAGATACTCCCTCAATAGAATAAAGATTTTAGGGTATCATATATGGCTTAGGACCATCTGTAAATGAGGATATCTATATCGAAGAATACAGATCATTAGCAACTGAATACTCAAATGGTTAAGGTAAACTGATCAACATGAATAATATTGGAGGATAATAGATCTCTAATAATTAATTTGGAGAAATGCTCTCCTCATCCTCTACTACAATTTCAACATGTGATTCTATCAATAGTCTTAGTGGGGCGATGCATCACAATAACCAAGTTATAAATCAATAGCACTATCTGCTAATGCAATAACAATAAGAATTAGCCAAGTAACAAAATAACCTGAATGAGGATGATTATAGTCACTTCTATAGAAATAATTTGCCGACTTCACACATAAATCATTTAGAATTAATGCAATAACAATAATAAAAACAAGCAGCCTATTATGGCTATCTATAGAATAACGCCCCAGCATTTGTGCCAACACACATACAATAAAATCAGCATTTAATAAATAGTAATACTCCTAGTGGACAGGGTATGTTCTACGAAAGATATGGTTCCCCGCCAGCTCCAACGGGAATCTCACCTCTCTTAATGTAGACCCCACTACTATACTTCTAGCCTAATGTTATAAATGGAAAAGGCTCTTATTAATGAGGGAATTCATCGTAGTTCTTTCTAGTTTCAATTACTCACTCACATGAGAGTATATATATGCATTATTTTAGATCTCTTTAATTGAAATCAAAATATTTCTCCTCAATTCTCTCTATTAAGATTTTACGGGGTTTTGGGGTTTTGGGGAGATCGGAAGGGCACACGTCTGAACTCCAGTCA